TTAATCTGGTTTGTCCACATTTTAAGCTTTCCAACACGAAAATAGAAATTACTTGACAGTAATGCATCGGACCAGGTATATTATTTTAATGTATTTCCTTTCGGAAAGTGTGGGCAGAATTTCTTTGACGGTCGTAAAGAATCGTTGTTTTACCTCTTTTTATAAGGAATTGTTAACTATGTTGATTCAGGTATTTGACCGAGAGGTTTTCGAGTTTTTTAGATGGAACGAGTTTCGATTTAAAAGCTCGTTTGACGTAGTTAAGGTAGAAGTTGTTTTGTTTGTCGGAAAAAATTTTTATGTGTTTGGAAATGACTATGCATGTTGTACGTCCTGTGTCATTTATTTGATGACGCGCCTTGTGCAGTCTATTGTTACATAATTCATTGAAGGTTGTTTATAGATTGCTAAATTTGAGTACCAGGAAATAATAGAATATGAAATTATGCGAATTCGGAAGTCGCTAAGATTATAAGTGTTTAAATTTGTGAATTCTTGTAAGTAAAATTTTTCCATCTGTGGCAATCTTTACTCATTACGTTGATATTACACATAAAGGGAATATGATAAAATAAAAAAAAAATATTTTAATAAATAAAGGACCGTAACAGGTCGATCCTTTAATAGATAAAACGATAAAAAGTTAAGTAGAAATACAATTACGTAGCTGAAGAAAGGAGTGTTATCAGAGATTGCGTAATCGATTAAATATCCATAAGCTGAATTAATTGAACTTGACGTAAATTTTTTTATAAGAAAGTTATAACGTCAAGTAATTGAAATAGCAATAACTATGATCTAACGTTTCGATAATTTTATGATAATTAAAAATGAGTGCAAAAAAATAGAGGTGTGAACACAGGTTCAAAGGTTAGCTACAAAGTAATTAGCACGATAACTGCTCTATGACGGCGAATATTAATATCAGATACTGATTCACAACTTCTTGAGCTCGAGGGATACAAAAAACTTCCTATAAAAAAATTGGAAAAATTTTTTGGGAGTAATATGACTCAATTAAAGTAAATTATGACTCAATTTTTCAATTTTTCAGTTTTTCAATTCTTTAATTCTTCAATTCCTCAATTTTTCAATTTTGCAATTTTTCAGTTCTTCAATTTTGCAGTTCTTCAATTCGTCAATTCTCCAATTTTACAATTTTTTAATTCTACCAGTGCTCCACTCTACAGTTCTTCAATGTTGCAATGTTTCAACTCTTCGAATTCTCAATTCTTCAATTTTTCAGTTCGCCAATTCTTCAATTTTTCAATTTTGCAATTTTGCAATTTTTCTAATTGTTCAATTTTTCAATTCGTCAATTCTCCAATTTTACCATTTTTCAATTCTCCCAGTGCTCCACTCTACAGTTCTTCAATGTTGCAATTTTTCAACTCTTCGAATTCTCAATTCTTCAATTTCTCAGTTCGCCAATTCTTCAATTTTTCAATTCTACAGTTCTTCAATTCTTCAATTCTACAATTCTTCAATTCTTCAATTCTTCAATTTTACCATTTTTTAATTCTCCCGGTGCTCCATTCTACAGTTCTTCAATTTTGCAATTTTTCAACTTTCGGATTTTTCAATTCTTCAATTTTTCCATTACTCAATTCCTCAACTCTTTGATACTACCATTCGTCAATTTTTCCAGTGTACCATTCTACCGTTCAATTTTGCAATTTTTCAACTCCTCGAGTTTTTGACTATTCAATTTTCCCATTAATCAATTTAAATTCAGAAAAGTTAACATCTTACTTATACAAATCGCGTGGTAACCAAGACAGAAAAAAAACAGACGGAAGCGAAGGTATTCCCAATGACTGTTCCAAAGAAGCTATCGCTGAAAATCCCAATCCATCAAGTCACATGATCCTATCCGATGGTAATAATTAGCAAGGTTCATGTTAATGTCGAAATAACGAGCCACCCACTTTTACACCTGTTGCGTTATTGAAACGCGTTTCTGTCTCATTTTTGCAACGTGCACATTATGCGAATTGTGCGTATTCAACACCGCTCGCGTTTCGATCGGACCTCGTTCCAATTTATTTCGACGATTAAAACGTTTCTGCAACGTACATTACTTTTAACGCGACAACCATTCAGATATTCTCTGCTAGCAAACGATTCGCGGATTGAGTCTTTTGTAAACGCGTAGCCGGTTCATTAACGATTAAATCAGAAAAATATCCTGCCTGACGTTTCATTGAAAGGACACTCATCCGATGAGTCGAGGGACGTGTAGCAAGACCCGATTCATTATCCAGTATCTTGATTTTCCTCGGGACAAGTAGTTAAATGCAGCGACAGTTGAGCAAATATCGCCAAGAGGTTTCGTATTTCTGCTTGAACGTAATTACTACTTGCACTATTCTTTCCATTTTGCAACGTATGTGTCGAATTTCGAAAGTTGGTTCGAGCTGACGATTGATCAAATTTCAACGCGATTTACACACTCGTTAACATCGGTAACAGTATTTGGGTCGTGTGACGTTTGCAAAATATGGAAACATAAAATGGCATGTCAGCAAACAATCGAAAATCCAAATTCCGAAATCATGTGACTGTCATATGTGAACAGCATGTGATCTAAAACGAGGTTTATCAATTTTATACAGATTTTTAATTGCACACAATTAGATATTGAATGCATCATTAAACACTCAATGAGTGAAATATCGTGTAGTGTAAACTGAATGAGAGTAGCTTAGCATAAAAAAATATGTAATGCATATGTAACATTCCTCGTATCTATTTCTCGGATCAACACTCGTTCTTGCTTCAAGTTAATAACTCTTTCCACGCGCGTACAATGAACGAAAAAATGAATTTGTATTTTCATAAATCAACTTCTGTCACTCGATCGCTCATATGCGGCAATCAGTGAATGAACAGGCGTAAAAACTATTCCTTAATAAGGTACTTGTGACTTGTATTGACCAAGCGAGTTAAAACGTTCCTTTTTTGAAGCAGTGCATTTTCCTGATTAATCGTACAGTATGAGGAAAACTTGTACGGTGTATGCTTTGGAATTCTTATTTTACTAATTCTTATTTCACTCTTAAATTTTTAAATTCACGAATTCCTAAATTTCTAGATTCCCAAATCCCTAGATTTCCAAGTCTCTAGATTTTCAAATTCCTATATCTCAAAATTCCTAGATTCGGAATTCCCTAGATTCCGAATTCCCTAGATTTCGAATTTCCTACACTTCGAAATCCCTAGATTTCTAATTTCCAAGAATGCAAATTCCCTAGATTCCCAAATCCCCAGATTTCGAATTTCCAAGATACCGAATTCCCTAGATTCTGAATTCCCTACGTTCCCAAATTACTAGATTTCGAATTCCCAAGATTCCGAATTCCCTACGTTCCCAAATTCCTAGATTTCGAATTCCCAAGATTCCGAATTCTCAAGATTTCGAATTTCCAAGCTTCCGAATTCCCGAGATTCCGAATTCCCTACATTCCCAAATCCCTAGATTCCGAATTCCATACGTTCCCAAATTCCTAGATTTCGAATTACCAAGATTCCGAATTCCCTACGTTCCCAAATTCCTAGATTTCGAGTTCCCAAGATTCCGAATTCCCTAGATTTCGAATTTCCCAGCTTCCGAATTCCCGAGATTCCGAATTCCCTACATTCCCAAATCCCTAGATTCCGAATTCCCTACATTCCCAAATCCTTAGATTTCGGATTTCCAAGATTCCGAATTCCCTACATTCCCAAATCCCTAGATTTCGAATTCCCTACATTCCCAAATCCTTAGATTTCGAATTTCCAAGATTCCGAATTCCCTACATTCCCTAATCCTTAGATTTCGAATTTCCAAGATTCCGAATTCCCTACATTCCCAAATCCCTAGATTTCGAATTCCCAAGATTCCGAATTCCCTAGATTTCGAATTTCCTAGATTCCGAAATCCCTAGATCGCGAAATCGCTAAATTTCCAAATTCCTAGATCTCCAAATCTCTAGAACTCCCAATCCCTAGATTCACAAATCTCTAAATTCCCCAATTCCTAATCCCTACATTCTTAAATCCTTGCACAACCAAATTCCTAAATTTCTAAATTCCTACCCCGTATCCCTAAATGCCTAATTTTCCATATGCCAAAAATCCTACATAGACAACCTAAGTTTGAAATTGAATACGTCATTTTTGGTGTCTTTCATTTTAAGATTCGTTCTTATGAAAATCATAATTTTGTTCTCTGGATAGCATTGAAAACGCGAAGAAGTTAAAATGGATTGGACAACTTGTAATTTTAACTTAATTAGTACGGCGGATTTAACACGCATGCCCGTGCAAAATTTTTAAGACCTTTTAACAAACTCACTTATCCTGTTGTGACACAATGCAGTTTATTTAAATTGAATTACAAATTGAATGCGTCTGAACTCGTTCATTTTCAATAAGATTACTTTCGAATAACACGGTCGTATAACGCGGCTATGCATTTTATTAATATATCTGCAAACAATGACAATTGTCAGGCGTTCCACCTTATTTCAATGTGGGTCACTTAAAATATTGTATAAATTATCTGGAAATAGACTTTCTTTACAGAATCACAATTTTTATTGAATTTCAATAATCACCAGCATTTAAATCCTTAGCTTCCATATTTTATAATTTTTCTCCAAAAATAAATTCCTTATGTTTAATTGTTGCGGAGAGTAAGAATCCTTGTTTCATTACAAATTCAAAAGAACCTCAGAACACGTAGGAACACCAGTGATAATTTCACTTCATTGTTCATTCGAATCTTAATAATAACTGGTCATAATAAATAAATGTATTTTATACGTATTGTATTTTGTATCAAAACTTCAATAAAACATCCAATACATTTATACAATTAAACGCTTTGACATAAATCCTTCCCCAAATCTGAAACCCCTATTTCCTAGCACAGGTTTCCAACAAAATATTGCAACAGGTGTTAAAAAATGTACGAACGTCCGGTCGATGAAATTCGAACGAAAAAGACAGGTACTCACGTCAGTAGAGAAACTTGTCCAGTGAAGAACCTTCTTCGTCGACGATGCCTCCGATTTCAGTATCACCCTCGGTTGGCGGTTTCTGTCGATGAACCTGTGCCTAACGACAAGTCCTTAGGTTGTTCGAAGGTCGTATACCGGTTTTTCGGACGTAACCAGGGAGAAAAGTCGGAATCTCGTGGCAAGGTCTGGAAGACGATCGCAGCGGGTTGTTCGAGGCGAGCGATCCGAAGAACGTGCGATGACCACCGAGAGGAAACAACTAACCGGGTACACTCCACTGACTAACGATTCGACGTGAAGTAAAATAAGTAGTCGACAAGGTTCCTCTCTTTCCCTTTTAACTCGGCTACGAACGATATTCTGCACGGTCTGACGATACAAAGCCGTGCAGTCGTAGTCTTATATCCCTTCCAGGTAGGCTGACTCGCGATTACGCTCGGCGACGGAGCCGATGTAAGATGATTTCCGACAGAGACCAAAGCTGTCTCTTCCTCCTCCTCGTCTCTACTCCCCGTCATCTGCGTCAGTATTTTCGACCGATTTCGTTGGTCAACCTTTTTTCCCACCCACCATTTTCCTGCTTTCTTCAACCACCCAGTTTTCGGATGTTAATTCATTTACCTTAATTACATCTTTACATTCTTTCGTTGCTGCAGTTTTATTTTCAGTTAACAGTTTTGGTTTCTCTTTTTGGGTTAAATAACTTGCTAATTGAGGAGATTACTGGTTAGGGTAGAACCAGTCATGATGACATCAGACATTAAATTGTATCAAGAGAGTTTGAATTTTGATCCATCCAGATGGAGGATCTGTTAAAATTTCACTGGGAAGATCAAGTTTTAGAGAAAATTATTAAAATTTTTTTTTCTCCTTTCCAGTCAAATAATTTGCTAATATGAGGAGATTTCTTGACTGGTTAGGGTAGAACCAGTTATGTTGATGACATCGAAATACAGATTGAATTGTATTAATTCAGTGAGTTCGAATTTAGATCCATCCAGATGGAGGATCAATTAAGATTTCACTGGGAACATCAAATTTTAGAGAAAATTATTAAAATTTTTTTTTCTTTTTAGTCAAATAATTTGTTAATTGATGAGAAGATTTCTTGACTGGTTAGGGTAGAACCAGTCATGTTGATGACATTGAAATACACATTGAATTGTACCAATTTGTGAGTTCGAATTTAGATCCATCCAGATGGAGGATCAATTAAGATTTCACTGGGAAGATCAAGTTTTAGAGAAAATTATTAAAATTTTATTTTCTCCTTTCCAGTCAAATAATTTCCTAATTGATGAGAAGATTTCTTGTCTGGTTAGGGTAGAACCAGTCATGTCGATGACACCGAAATACAGATTGAATTGTACCAATTTGTGAGTTCGAATTTAGATCCATCCAGATGGAGGATCAATTAAGATTTCACTGAGAAGATAAAATTTTAGAGAAAGTCATACAAATTTTTCTTCATAATTTTCATTTAATTCTTCGCACAATTAATAACACTTTAACTATCTGACAGATCTAATTGAAAGTACCAATCTTCTATTTAAAACCAATCTTCTATTCCTTTACTGTCCCTTAAAAATTACGACTCATAAAATATGCTCGAATAGGTAAATATGAAGGGGTGACTTTAACCCTGAAGTGTTACTATACATGCTCTACATAATTTCAATGCTCATAATTTTTTGAATTTTCCTGATTGAATATTTTCTTGTCAAAAAAGGTTTCAAAGTTGTTCTGCAACTTCTATGTTCACATGTCTTTGTAACGTTACATGTCATGTCTTCTACACGTGTTACAAACGTGTAAATATTTGCAGTTCATTCATTATCTGTAATTTTGTTGACTTCATACATTGCTTACTAGACACCTGATTCAAGTTGAATTTGTAATAGTGGTCAGAGGTGACCGGTTGCGGACATCGCAACAAAGATGGCTGGAAATTATAAACAACTTTGATAGTTACTAGTGCAACTTTGTATTTGTTCAGAACTTTCTCAGCTTCGTTTGCTTAATTTGATTAATTTGTATCGACCCTGTTGCGTAAACGTTTTTGAATCTTTTGTGGACAAGTTATTTTTGTGGACTAAGTTATTTTCTAACTCAGAAGGGTTATTTCAGTGGACGTCAGTGGTACAAAGCATCCATTCTCTACTTTTGCAGAACTTCGTTGACCAGGGGAGAAATTCTATTATTGTATACTTTTGTATAATTTTCTATGCAATAATAACACCCTCTGTGCTAAATAAACACCCTACGTGACACCCTATACAAAATCCTAGCAGAAAGTCAGTCCTCCTTTTCAGACTATTACAATGACGCCCCAAATTCTTGAAATCACTCTCTAAACAAGAATACTTAACAAGTTATGTCAACGTGTGATTATTCTCACCCAGTAATTATTGCTTACAAGAATTTATTATGAATATAAACAATTATCCGCAACTTCTGCCGGGAGGTAAAATTCCTTTCTAATATCTTTCTCCTTGGGTGATCGAGGTTGCGCAGAAAGTAAGGTGAATCGTAATATTTGATTAATTATCCCACAGAAGCTTCTTATACTGCAGCGATTACTGTCAAACCAGTCCCACAAATAAATCTCTGCGAACTCGATAGTCGAACTACCAATTTAACAAACTATTTAACATGCAACATAAATACTCGCATATAAGTAGTAATTATTAAAAAGCAAACGTAGAAATACTATCGACGTCAATCGGAAATATTACATTTCCACTCCTAATAAACATAAAACGTTCGATTATACTTGTAGATGAAAGCTTTAATTACAGAGATCCGATATTCGTGTGCACGTTGATTAACTTGCGAGCGATTTGTCGCAGACTTTTTTCGCCGCTCAATTTCCGACACGTGCAAACAAATAGTTCTTGTAAACATTCATAAAACATCAATTGATAACGTACATACGTATTAATATATCTTTTTCTATTAATTCGCATGTTTACAAAGATTTTTGCCTCGATCACGATGATTTGACATGTAATTATGTGTGTGCGGTTTAGAAGCAAAGTTCGCGTTGACTGCCGATTATTGTGCGTAAATCGTTTTTGTATTAATTTTTGTATTAATTTTTGTATTAATTCGCATGTTTACAAAGATTTTTGCCTCGATCACGATGATTTGACATGTAATTATGTGTGTGCGGTTTAGAAGCAAAGTTCGTGTTGACTGCCGATTATTGTTGTGCGTAAATCGTTGCATATCGGACTAGATTAACTTACAATGCCATTTGTTAATACAATTACAGCGCGGGTTATGTTAATTATTAAAGTAGACTTTCGAAGTGTAGCGTATAATATCTCGATCGAATGCGGCGTGTCGAACCTTGAACGCTTCGTTCCCTCAAGTACTGTTGACAGGTTGTTGATGAGCGCTACGTGTATTAACTTAAAAATTCTATGGTTCACTGCTACAATTACGGTGTATGCGATAGGTGAACGACTTTGAAATGTCGTATTTATTATACGACAGTGTCATAATATCTTGCAAGGTGTAATGGCGTGTGTGGACAGATTGGAATTTGAATTTTTTCAAACTTTATTTATGATGAATTATAAAAATTATGTTATAATTTTGGATGAGTTATGATGATAATAAATAATGAATGATGATGACGATGACGAATAATTGTACGAATTTAAACATTTTTGAATTTATGAATGAATTTGAAGGTTTACAAAATTCAAAAATTTACTAACTTGAGAATTAAGCAATTTGATTATTTTATTGTTTAAAACCTTCAAAGTTTAACAATTTTTAATTCGCAAATTTTTACAAGGTACACAGAGAACATGACCAGAGAATATGATACAATTTGTACACAGAGAATATGATAAAATTTGTACACAGAGAACATGACCTTCCTAGATCTGTTCAAGGTCATGTCGATTATAAGGTAGAGGTATACTATAGACTAATTGAAGTTTTGGACCATGTTATAGTTTTGTCCTACTGAAAATATTACCAAGCTATGATACTAAAGAAATGATGTCGAGGGTAGTAAATAATTGCTCATATTCATTATTGCTAGCAGTTCTCATATTTATTATTGTCAATCTTGTAAAATGTACAGATCTATTTCAACATCTTAAAAGAACTTACTGTATCTATTTTTCTATTCAACATTAATCCATTGCACTAATAGTTAATTTATTAAAACCATCTATTAAAGTTTACCTCACATTTTTTTAATCTTTCCTCATCAATAACACTTTAATAAACAAACTCAGTTAAAACCTTTAAAGTGTTACTAAAAAAATCCTGATAACACCATAAGATTACGAGTGGTGTTTTCTGAATTTCATTGTGACAGTTCTTGAAAAAAAAGATCAAAATAATAAAAGTTTGCGTTTGGAGGAAACTTCTCGAAGTGTCCCGTTATTTCGTCACGACGCAACACGTGATTCCCGATTGATTATGCAATTACAGTAAATTACGGGTCGTCGATTACATCCGTTTCGAGGGATCAGTTTAGCGGAGGCATGATTGAAAGTTCGTCGTGCGAGTCCTTCGCAAACCGAAGGACTTTCTGTCTCGAGTACGTTTCTTTTATTGCGCGGCCGCCTCCTTTGAGACGGATTTTTGCTAGCGGGAGAATGTGAAGCCGCAAAAAATCGTTCCTTTCTTGCAATTTTCTTTGGAGACCTGCTTTCTGCACCTGAAACGAAATGGGGTATAAATCTGTCGCGTGAGACTTTTCGTTGTAAATGAGGTTAGAAACTGTTGATGTGCTCAGATACTGGATTCGAGTTACAACTGGTTAGGTTAGGTTAGGTGTGGCTAGTATCTAGATAGGTAGATAGGGGGAGGATCTAGGGATTCACTTAGACATGATGGACATATTAGTCAGTTGGGAAATTTCAAAGACATGCTTCGAAGTCCTCCAAGTTCTAAATTTCAGATTTTCTAAATTCTCGTTTTTTAAATTTTCAAATATTCGAATTTCTAGATTCTCAGATTTATAAATTTGCGAAAGGTAATTTATACAAGTTGGACACTCTCCAGTTTCTAAATTTTCAAACATCGTTTGGGGCTTCTTCAAACTCCTCCAACCCCAAAACTCAAAATTCCCAAATTGATTTTCTATATTTTCAAGTGTCTCAATTTCTAGATCCATATTCCCACATTTCCAAAAGCTACTTGATACACTGTTAGCACCCTTATTTGATTTAAAATAAACATCTAAGATAAACATCTAAGATAAATATCCAAGATAAACATCCTACTTACAAATATAGCATCTATCAAAAATATTTACAAACAAACAAAAAACCAAAAGAAGCTAAAACACTCCGCCACAAGTTAAAACAACAGAAAATTAAAAAAAGAACATCTGAAGCTATAACATAGTAACTTTAACTAAAGCTCCACAGTGTGATCTTATTGTAAGAATATAGTTATAACACTTGACAAGTAGAAAAGTTCGACAGTTATAATAAGTAAAAGCAATTTTGTAACTTCCATCGCGTTTTTCTCGAAGCTGTCGACTTGACGGGAAAGGTTTCTCGAACATCGATTGCCTTGAAAAGAGAACTTTTCAGATGCTCTGAAATTCCGTTAAACGTAAGAATTTATTCTCGCCTTTAAAAGTTTTTAACAGTGAAAATTAATGAAGGTGTTTCTTTTTCACTTCCTTTTTTATATATTCTCGATGAGATCGTTTGAAGCAGCAACGTGAAATTTTTCTGCACGAATAGGTTAATTGCCCGCCCTAGATAGGATTCATAACGGCTTAAGAATAACCGTAGAGTAGCCTTGAAATGCTGCAAGGTTAAAGTTGACGTACAACGTGAAGCTGTGTAATTTACTTTGAGTGGCGCGTGTAAGGAAGAGCGATAAATAATTTATATCTGTCGATTATTTTTAACAACTTTCGGTAACTTGGTCTAGTCTCAATATCCTATTACCTCAAACTTTCAAGCTTCAGATATTTTGGGGTCTCAAAGTTGAGAACAGTTTACGAGTTTTGAAAGGGTGAGGCAAGTTTGAGTTTCGATATTCCAACATGGCCCAAAGTCATCAAATTTTGGGGCCTCAAAGTTGAAAACATTCTATGAGTTTCGAAAGTGTAAGGCAAGTTTGAGTTTCGAAATTTCAACATAGCCCAAAGTTATACAATTTTGGGGCCTCAAAGTTGAAAACATTCTATGAGTTTCGAAATTTCAACATGGCCCAAAGTCATCAAATTTTCGGGTCTCAAAGTTGAGGACAGTCTATGAGTTTTGAAAGTGTGAGGCAAGTTTGAGTTTCGAAATTTCAAAATGGCCCAAAGTCACAAAATTTTGGGGTCTTAAAATGATATGTTGAAAGAGTGCATTTTACGTTGGGGCTCATGTCTTAAAATAAATATTATGAGTATAATAAAATGTTCGTATCAAGTCGTTTATCAATCGAGTAATGCATCTGACGGTATCAAAATTAAATCACTAGAATTCAGTAAAATTAATGGACTATATCAAGGTAACATAAATAGAAAGAAAGTGTAACGAGTAGTCAGTGATGGATTTAAGCGATTTCGCGCTCTTGTACAGAAATTATGTGGCAGCCTATAATTATTGTTATAATGTTTAACGTTAGTTTAGCATAATGTTTAGCAAGCTTTGTATACCATAAAAACTAGTATACTATAATACCAAAATACTAAAGTTACATTATAATAATAATTATAGACTGCCATATAATTTCTGAACAAATGCTCGAAACCGCTTAAAGCCATCACTGAGTATTGTCAGTACTGCAGTTTTACTATCATAGTATAAAAGGGTAGATTTTCAGTCATATTTTATATACGAAATGTTATGCGATATATTAATTGTCTTTTCAATATACAAAGGATATTGTTCAAGACCTTCATTCAAGTATCATTAATCACCAACAAAAGGACAATGAGAATCTTTTTCGGTAATCTAGACGAGCATAAAAACGTTAGAACGATAAAATGGAAAAGGAAGAGTAAGTATAAAAATACAAAAGTGGTCTTGTACTCTTCAGGAGCTGGATACCGTCATTGCACTATCGACATATTATTTTAGATTTCTAAGAACTTTTTCATACTTGAAAGCGTTGATTTTAAATATTATAAAGACTGGAGCCCATCGGCAAGATTTTCGAGACAAACTACTCGTTCTTTCACGATATGATAAACAGATGAAATGATTTCATACATTTTCTTTGTGTCGAACAAGAGTCTTTGCATAAAGAAGAGTCTCCATCCAAGGTGCCTCAACATGCCTCGTCACAACAGTTGTTCCTATCAAGCATACGTTACCAGATCACCACTAAAAATGCCCTAAGAGCGTAGGTGGGCAAACTGCAGGGAATGCCGGGTAACTTGTCACCGTGAGGTGGCGCCATCTCCCGGAGGAAGTCGGTGCAGCATTGGCTGGCAGTTCGCAGGCGCATTTCCCGGTGCATTCTCTCGTTTTAGCCGGACCGAGGAGCGTCATTCCTTCCCCGCGATCCACCAAAGGTAGAACCACTCTTTCTTCTCTCCGCACACCCTTTTGTCCTTCTTCCTCGCTGGGTGAAACGCGTGCTTATATACATAACATCGAACAGCGGCAAGCTTCTTCTTCGCTTTAGTTTCCTCCTCTTTTTCTCTCCCCACTCTTCGAGTTCCCCTTCCGTTGACCGATAAGCGTCCCACTGTCAGGGTCGAAGAAAGAAGAGGTCGGGGTCCGTGCCAGCTGTTCAGCCCGCGATCTTTGGACTCCTTGGTGCCCCATCGGTGCTCCGTCTAGAACACGGGATTTCCTGGTGCTGACCATGTCGATCATCACCGGCTGCTTTCGACGTTTAACGGACGCTTCCACCAGAACCGAGGTAAACAAAGATACATGTCCTTGGTGTTCGTATAAAATGGGGGGCGATTCTTCAACTTTTCTTTGGCTGCTTATCGATATTTTTTTCAAGTTAAAACTCTGTGGGAGGAAACGGTTGCTCGAGGTAACGTGACGTATTTGGTGACTGAGTGTATCGGAATTTTCATTGTTTGTTAGCTTAGCCGGGAACACGATTTATTTTTGAAATTACGTCTCGTTATTCGCTTTTATCTGGGGGAGATTTTTGCAAGATTGAGTATTTATGGGGCGCTGAAATGGGGTATTTTATTTTATTTTAGGAGGATTTAGTAAAGGATTACTTGTGGGTTTAAATCTTTATTTGGCGTTCCAGGTTTATGGTACTTGATGGTTTATGGTAGTATGGTAGCTTTTTAGAAAATTGACTGATGGTATCGATTCGTAGCCTCAGTACCCTTCAGTTATCTACCCTCCGTTTGAGCGTATTCAGATACTCTCCATTTGTAATCTAATTTCAGAATTTGCATCGAGCCAGGTGCATCAAAAATTAGAGGTTTATTTTTACAAAATGTTTTTGCTATTTTGACACTTCGTTTTATGTCGAGTGGATGAAATATTCGATCTCGTACTTGATAATCACTCAATATATTTTTCATTATAACACATTCGAACCACCTACTTCATAGTTAGTCTCTACAAAGAAATCTTGTAGAAAGAGATCTTCTTCTAGAAAGAAATCTTGTGTACAAGACTTGTGTAGAAGTTTTGTGTAGAATTCTTGTGTAGAAGTCTTGTGTAGAATTCTTGTGTAGAAGTCTTGTGTAGAATTCTTGTGTAGAAGTCTTTTGTAGAAGTCTTGTACAGAAATCTTGCACACAAGAAAGAAATCTTGTGTTCATACACGATATAATGAGAAAATGACGGTTAATTCCGCGAATAAAGAAATTTTTTTCCAGTCGCGATGAGTAGATCATATCGGATCAGTCGTATCATTAACGTCAAGAACACTTTTCCCAATGATCGATCTAATTACAGCAATTCACACGTTAATCGTATCAAATGAATGAGCAGATAATACCAGATATCAAGAGATTATGTAAAACAGCTGTCAAAACACAGTCTGCGGAAGAACGGTCACGTGCGAGCGAATGATAACTTTGTTCTTGTCTTTGTTCCGTGCATTTAATTAACATCGCTAATTAACGATTTAGTAATGCTCCAGATAAAATTATCAACATCATTGAATATGTGATAAAACAGCTCTTTGTACTAATGTTTGAAACACCAGATTGAAATACTTGCGTTATTTGTGGAACAGAGATTTTAACGAGAGGTCTGTTTTCATTCGATCGCACTTCATTATTAAGTCTAAACTTTCTAATCGATTGTTGGGAACAGCTATTATGTTCCCCGGAAACTGGTTTCGGCTTTCTCAACTATTTTGATGTTCAACAAGTTACATTTAATTATACGGAACTTCGGCTTTTTCTCAAAATCGAAGTTGATTCATTTGTTTATGTAATGTTTGAGACAAATGCTAGAAATGATCATATTTTAGATTCCAGTGTTAGAGAGACAACACTGGACAGATTTTACATAGATTCATTGAATAACTTGTGTTTCAGAATTTCAGTAAGATGTCGATAATAGACAGTAGTATTTTGATGTTTGTATTAGATGGACTAAATGTTTTAATCTTTTCTAAAAAATTTTCTAAAAATCTTATTATATGTAACTATTATATAAGTAACACATTGATTTACATATTGTACAAAATAACTGCTAGACACATTAATTGCGTGTATAAGGGGAATTATAGTTGATCAAGATCTTCATTCAATGTTCTATAACTATGTTAGTATTATTCATAGAAATATCTTCAACACAAAATTTCGCAATGCAAAACTGACACTTATAATCATTTGCAACCTCACTCTATACACAATGCATGTCACATATGAATTTAAACACACAGCATCACACATGTCTTTCTCGAGCTACCTTTACAAAAATGGTGTAATAAATCATTGTCGAAATCTTCGTACCTTCTTATTTTTAGCTATGTATAAAAAACAAAGAACTCCATAGAATTATTTTTAGTATTGCTTTTTATGAGGTAGTTCAAAGAATCCTATAAAAAGAAAGCATTGAGAAATTGAACAAACGTGACCTATACATTTTGCCAAACGGAATATTTGAAAAAAAAAAATTGAACGAACGTTGATCGAGTGGTCGAGTGTTTGTGTAATCTCAGGGTCGAATTCATACACGAGCGGATACCGGCTGACACGCGAGAGGGTTTTATCCATAGAACTTGAGCAATCGTAGGCGTCGCGACTTTCGATCGGTGTTTGCTTTGCCGACTGACCGTGATTAAACGTCGTTGAATGCGATGTGGGTCATCGAAAGAAACTGTGACACCATCCGCTTCCGTGCGACCTTGAACGCTATCAGCCCACAATGAGATTTCTGAGGCTTTCACGGTCTGCTCCCTTTGCGCTCGTGCGAGTAACGTAATTTCTCTGGCAAATTCCGTCTTATTCCGAGATAATGAGACACGGAAAGATAACGGAGACGGAGGGATATGACGTTGTAATTAGTCTGCGTTGTAATTGATGTTGTAATTTAGGATGGGTTCCAAGATTACTTTTTTTATGAGGAAGAGAATTTATAACTCGTTACATACATCTTCATGTGTTATTTTATATTTGAACATACATGAAGTTTATAAGAAAATTCACATATCGTTACATACATCTTCATGTGTTATTTTACATATGAACATACATGAAGTTCATAAGAAAACCCACATATCGTTACATACATCTTCATGTGTTATTTTATAATTGACATACATGAAGTTTATTAAAAAACTCACATGTCGTTACATAAATCTTCATATGTTATTTTACATATGAACATATATGAAGTTTATAAGAAAACTCACATGTCGTTACATACATCTTCATGTGTTATTTTATAATTGACATACATGAAGTTTATTAAAAAACTCACATGTCGTTACATAAATCTTCATATGTTATTTTACATATGAACATATATGAAGTTTATAAGAAAACCCACATATCGTTACATACATCTTCATGTGTTATTTTATAATTGACATACATGAAGTTTATTAAAAAACTCACATGTCGTTACATAAATCTTCATATGTTATTTTACATATGAACATATATGAAGTTTATAAGAAAACTCACATGTCGTTACATACATCTTCATGTGTTATTTTACATATGAACATACATGAAGTTTATAAGAAAACCCACATATCGTTACATACATCCTCATGTGTTATTTTATAATTGACATATATGAAGTTTATAAAAAAACTCACATATCGTTACATACATCTTCATATGTTATTTTATATTTGAACATATATGAAGTTTATAAGAAAACCCACAATTGGTTACCATACATGTGTTACTTTATACTTGAAACTTATCATGAAATTTATAAGGAACAATATTTTTTTAAAAATTAAAAATAGAAGTTTGCTACTAGTAATACTAAATACTTAATACTAAATTAAGGGATAGGATGTGGATTTTTGAAAATGTGATTCATCTGAGAAATTATTATAATTGAACTTGTCATAAACTTTATAAGAAACAATATGCTTTTAAAAATTAAAAATAGAAGTTTGCTACTATTAATACTAAATTAAAAGTTAAGAAGTGGATTTTTGAAAATGTGCATCACCTAACAAATTATTATAACTGAACTTATCATGAACTTCACAAAAAACAATATCTTCTTAAAAATTAAAAACAGAGGTTTGCTACCAGTAATACTAAACTTAATACTAAATTAAAAGCTAAGAAGTAAATTTTTGAAAATGTGCATCACCTGACAAATTACTATAATTACAGCACATTCTAATACACCTAATAAGCCAAAATTATTTCGGAATAGATTACATTAGCTGTTACACGATATTCCACGTACCTCTCGTTTACATATTAGTACGTGTAACAATCTGCTAATCATCCCCGATCACGTTCCCGTCGATTCCCTTTAATGATTCAAGCGAGAGATATTACCCCGAGATCCATGCTGAATTTCCATGAAATTCATTAACCTTTCCCTTTTCCGGTCGATCTAAAAGCCGGGCTTTTTATTTGCCAGAAAGCTAATTTCACGATAGATTCTATTTAAGGGATTAAAAATATAATTCACTTTGCGAGATCTGCGACATCAATGAGCTTACCTTGTCTTTTCTCTATCATTTTTCGCTTTGAAATCAAACGCGTTTTATTGAGAAAAGGGAGCAATATGGCGGTACTCGGGACAGCACCGTTGCACACGAATGACATTTTACCGTGCGATTCCACTGCGATCGTCTTTCTTTTCCAGTGAAAACGGAGATGTATGGTCATAGCGAAATAGCATGGAGTCGCTCGTGTGCGAGGGTTTAGAGTTCTAGTTCGATATATTATTCAGGGAGCAGCGATACTCAAGGTTACGAATCGATAAATGCAACCCTTTGGAGTATTAGAGTCTCCGGAACTAGTGGTACTTCGCGATCAATTTTATTTGAATTTTTAATGAATTTCGAAGGTTCCAAGCTTTTAAGACCCCAAATTCGCAAGGTTTCAATCGCTCAAGGTTCTAAGCTAATAAATTCCCAAATTCGAAAGGTTCCATCCACGCAAATTACCAATTTCTCAAGGTCCCACGCTCCCAAGTTTCCAAATTTGCAAGGTCCCAATTTCCCAAATCACCAAATTTGCAAGGTCCAAATTTCTTAGGGTCCCACGTTCCAACATTCCAAAATTTGCAAGGTCCCACGCTCTCAAGGTCCCAATTTCTCAAGGGTCGAATCTCTCAAGGTCCTAATCTCCCAAGGTCCCAAGTTCTGAACGGTCCAATCTCTCAAGGTCCCAATCTCCCAAGGTCCCAATTTCTGAAGGGTCCAATCTCTCAAGGTCCCAATCTCCCAAGGTCCCAATCTCCAAAGGTCCCAATCTCCCAAGGTCCCAATCTCCCAAGGTCCCAATCTCCCAAGGTCCCAATCTCCCAAGGTCCCAATCTCCCAAGGTCCCAATCTCCCAAGGTCCCAATCTCCCAAGGTCCCAATCTCCCAAGGTCCCAATCTCCCAAGGTCCCAATCTCCCAAGGTCCCAATCTCCCAAGGTCCCAATCTCCCAAGGTCCCAATCTCCCAAGGTCCCAATCTCCCAAGGTCCCAATCTCCCAAGGTCCCAATCTCCCAAGGTCCCAATCTCCCAAGGTCCCAATCTCCCAAGGTCCCAATCTCCCAAGGTCCCAATCTCCCAAGGTCCCAATCTCCCAAGGTCCCAATCTCCCAAGGTCCCAATCTCCCAAGGTCCCAATCTCCCAAGGTCCCAATCTCCCAAGGTCCCAATCTCCCAAGGTCCCAATCTCCCAAGGTCCCAATCTCCCAAGGTCCCAATCTCCCAAGGTCCCAATCTCCCAAGGTCCCAATCTCCCAAGGTCCCAATCTCCCAAAGTCCCAATCTCCCAAGGTCCCAATCTCCCAAGATCCCAATCTCCCAAGGTCCCAATCTCCCAAGGTCCAAAGTTCTCAAGGTCCCAATCTTCCAAATCCCAAACTTCTCAATGCCCCACGCTTCCAAGTTCCCAAATTCGCAAAGTTCCAATTTCTCAACGTCCAAATTTCCCAAATTCCCAAATCCTCAAATTCCCAATTTCCCAAATCCCAAAATTCGCAAGGCCCCAAATTCCCAAATCCCCAATCTCTCAAATCAACTCAATTCTCTTTGTCACAATATAGCACCTGCAATTCTACCTTATACCCCAAATAAATCATAGTATTAAAACAATTACTTCTGCACTACACAACATTATTATACACAACAATATCCATATAACATTCTCCAAAGTATTATTCTTGTATTCTTATCTTTTCTGCGCAGCTGAAGGGGTACAAAGTAACAGACGTGAACCGCACGCGGAAATTCGGCGTCGCCTGCAGGAGCCTTCAGGAGCTGAAGCGGAAAGCTTGCGCGAAATTAAACGTGAGTATTGTTGCAGCGATTAACGCCCGCGGGGTTTATTTAATCGAGCTATCGTCCGATTCGCGGGACGATCGTGTGAGAGAGCGCGATAAGTCTTTGGATGAAAACCGTAGCTCCATGAGGCTTCTACATGTCATAATAAAAGTTGCTTGCCGAAACTGGGTCATAAAAGCCTCGCAGCTGATCCATAGAGCGGCTTGTGGAAAATTGTAACACGTCCTTTTTCCCCTGGCGAGATCGGGATTTCGTTATGGACTTGTTTAAAGCTCTGGGCCAAACTCGTTTCAACAGTATTGCTGAAAAAACTGCTGGATTTATCGCTTTAGAAAAATCGCTCCGTTGTAACTCGTGTTCTCTTTTATGGCACTGACTGCTGGTATATTAACTGGGGAGTTTTATGGACATGGGGTAGGAGGATATCAAGATTTGGAGATTTGGGAGTTTGGAGGTGTGGTGATAGGGGGTTAGGGGGATGTAGAGATGTGGAATGTGGGGATTTGGGGAGATAGGAAGCTGGGGATGTGGAGAGCTGGGGGTGTAGAGATTGGAGGATGTGAGGATTTGGGGACATGGAGATCTGGGGATGTGGAGATTTGAGTGTGTGGGGATTTGGGGATATGGAGATTTGGGGATGTGGAGATTTGGGGATGTGGAGATTTGGATATGTGGGGATTTGGGGACGTAGAGATTTGGGGATGTGGAGATTTGGATATGTGGGGATTCGGGGATGTGGGGATTTGGGGATGTGGAGATTTGGGGATGTGGAGATTTGGATATGTGGGGATTCGGGGATGTGGGGATTTGGGGATGTGGAGATTTGGGGATGTGGAGATTTGGATATGTGGGGATTCGGGGATGTGGGGATTTGGGGATGTGGAGATTTGGGGATGTGGAGATTTGGATATGTGGGGATTCGGGGATGTGGGGATTTGGGGATGTGGAGATTTGGGGATGTGGAGATTTGGATATGTGGGGATTCGGGGATGTGGGGATTTGGGGATGTGGAGATTTGGGGATGTGGAGATTTGGATATGTGGGGATTCGGGGATGTGGGGATTTGGGGATGTGGAGATTTGGGGATGTGGAGATTTGGATATGTGGGGATTCGGGGATGTGGGGATTTGGGGATGTGGAGATTTGGGGATGTGGAGATTTGGATATGTGGGGATTTGGGGACGTAGAGATTTGGGGATGTGGAGATTTGAGGATGTGGAA